ATCCATATTAGATTATACATGACTTTGTGACTATACTAAAAAGCACTTTGAATAGGTAAATGTTGTGGTATACAGATTATATCTTAATAAAGTTGTTTAAAAATCTAGTATTGTGATAGAGGAATAACAATAAGTAATTTTTAAGCATCTCGTGTGTGAAAAGCACAGTGTTAGTTATTAAATATTGCTGAACACTTATTACTTTGTCTGACCAGAGTAGTCACATTCTTCTGGAAAATCTTCCTTTACAACCATGTCAGGTCAACTCCTCTTCCCTACCCACATGTTGGACACTACAGCTGAGCCGTCAAATGATCTGGTCCATAGTGCTCCATCTACAGATGAGAATGTTCTCCAAGATGGACAAATCAGTCTTGTCCAAGGCTTTTTCTGATTGGGACTAGAAGTAATGTTACCAAACCAAACTGAGATCCTTTCGCCAATGCACACTAATGCCAATCTATTGACATCAGGTTGTAGTGAAGTAAATTGCAGTGTTTATCGCAGGGTGCCAAGCACGGAGTACAGGCAGCTAATACTCAAAAGACCCAAACTCCCAGAAGGCTTTTAGGGAAAGGTTTTTAAAGACAGTGGGGAGAGGATTGCAGCATATGTGATCAGCTCATGGACATTCTTCTGATTGGTTGGTGGTGAAGTAATCAGGAGTCACCATTATCAACTTTCTGGTTCCAACTGGCTGGGGTCTATATGCAATTAACTTCTTCTGCCTGGTAGAGGTTTCAGTATCTGCAAAATAGCTCAAAGATACTGCTCAGAATATTATCTATAGCCCCAGAAGAGGAAATAAAGGTCCTTGACTTTGTTTAATGGCTAAACTATTATTATTTTGTTGACGTGACTCTTTTCATCTGTTTCTGCATTTTCTCACTACTCTGATTAAATTTGTTCTTTGAAACTCAGGGAAGGTCTGGGAAGTTAAAAGTTTTTCTACAAACAAGAGGCAGGCAGAGGACATGGGGGGATCTGTCTCAGGAACGCCCCATAGGATCCTGCTCACTTACAACCCACCATTTTTTATACTCCTCAACCTTTAGAGGGAACAGGTGCAGGACAAGAAGGGGAATAACATTTTGGACACAGCTTAATCATAAACTTGGCAGAGAAACTCTGTTTGAGGGAGACTCTATTTCAGTAGGATCTTCTTGGTCCCTGATGAATTGCTTAAAAAAAAAAAAAGTAAATCTGCAACTATCGGTGGCTATTTTTCCTTCCTATGGTTCACGTCCCCTCTCAGCTATTTGCAGCAAGAAAGAATTAGAGCCACAAAAAAGGTGACAACAGTTAAAAGGGAGGAACTTCTGTGTCTTTCAGATTCCAACTTCCAATGTCCATTGAGCCAACCTTATCTTTCCTGTTGCTCTAATATTATTTAAACTGATTAGAATTGGGTTTGATACTTGGAACAAAAATTCTGTCCTTACTTCCTTAGAGATTACTTGGAAAAATATATATATAAAGGTTTGGAAAGTTAAATAGAAATCTAAGCCAGAATACAAAACATGAGATAGAGTTGGTGATGAAAGTAAATGTGAAAACAAGAATCTGTAATTAATTTCCAAATGAGCAATATGTACAACCAGTTTTATGGATTCAAATAAATAGACAGTGGTTTGGGTGATCTGAAAAGAGTTCCTGGAGGAAAAAGATCAAGACTAGAATTAGACCTTGAAAAGTAGATACATTGAATTTTTCTGTTAGGGTCACCCATGCCACCTTATTTAAATGAATTTCCTTTGGCGAGAGATCTAAGAAAGATCCTGCAGAGGCAGATAAGACATGTCCTGAACAGGGAAGGGGAAGGGAGGCAACTCTATGACTATAGCAAGATTTTATTCAAAGGCTAATATTTTGGGGCATATTAGTTGTTATAGGAATAATGTCCCATTTACCTTTTCTTCCCCCTAAGTCATGTAATGAAAATGACAAAATTAGACTTTTAATAAAATCACTGAAACTTTAAAGCTGATGGAAGATTAGTGGAATATTATCAGAATCGAGTGAGGCTGGATTCTGGTCAGTGTTGCAGAGGATCTTAGTTTTTTTGTTTTGTTTTGTTTTTAAATAATCACTCTAAGTTCCTCTAACTGTTAAGAACATATACAGCACTCAGTCTACGTGGGCGGCTTTGATGTCTCACTTTATTTTGAACCCTAGTTTTGACTCTTGAAACTTTATCGCAAAACATGGAAAGAACTGACAAAATGATCTTAAAACCTGGCTAGTTTTCCATAATTAATTTCTTCTGGATCCCCCCTTTTTAACACGTATCCCTGAGATAGTCATTTTTATAAATTGTGAAATCCCATGAGTAAGACCGTAATCTTGCTCACTTCAACAGTAAGTTGAAGTGATCCTTAAGAGCCTTTCATCAAGTTTTTTTTTGTTTGTTTTGTTTTGTTAAAGAAAGAGGAAAAAATGTTTCTAACACTGAGAATTATCTTAATCTGGCTTTCCCAAAGGAAATGCCATCGATAGCTTAAAAAATATATTTCCTTTCATTTCTTCTGACTAACATGTAACTCTGAGAAATATGGTAGAACTGTAGAATATTAGAGCAGAAGATGTGTCTGACATTGTATAATCCAGTGTACCTCTTTAACAACACTGAGATCAAGGGAATCTGTGAGTTTGCCAAGGGAGGACTGAACCACACTTTAATTCCCAGGGAAAGGAATCTTTAGATGACACCATGTTCCTTTTCTTGAAAACTATCATTAAAATATTGCTTAATTCAAAGTATTTTGGAGAAATTTTATCATGTTCATTTTGTTTCAGCCACTACATAATCCATAATTGGTCAAAAGTTGGAAGCATTGTTTTTTGTTTTTTTAACTTGGTATCTTCTAAAATGTTCCTATGGAATAAGAATTATGTTAAAGTTTCATGAAACATGATTTGCAAAACTCTTGGATGACAGACTTAAAAAACTACAGTAAAATTTAGGGGATTTCTTAAAGACATGCAGTCTAGAAGCCACAACACAAAACATAAACATACTAGACAATATTAAGACTATCTGGGTAAAGATCAAGCTCAATAGTTAAATGATAAATTTGGAAAATATATACTTTATATCAAAGTTGATATTATCAGTAGGAATTATTATGTCTGGCCCAGACAGAACCAAATAGGGGTTACATCTCCTTCATGCTTCCTTTTAGCAGAGAGGGAGCTAGAATCCCCAGGCTGGACCAGCCCAGTCACTGGAAACTTCTTAGTCCATTGCCCCATGATGATTTACAAATATACATTTATTCTAAAGTCCATTTATCCCATGATTACTTACAAATGTAATTTTCTGAGCATCAAGAAGTAAAAAACACTGTAAAGACCTGGTCTATAATATAAAAAGAGGACTTGTGTATCATGAAAAAGTCAAACAGCCCAATAGAAAAATGAGTATAAAAGATTATTCACAAAATTGCATATCCAACTTGCCAATGTAAAAGACTCCATATTTCTATAGTAACCATGGAAATGCAAGTTGAAGTAGAAGCTAGGTATCTGTTTACACCCACTAGGCAGGCAAAAATTTAAGAGCATAGTGAAGTCTATTGCAGGCAGGGAGGCAAAGAGAAGAAAATTCTCACTCATTGCTGGTGATTAGGTAAAAAATTTCAGTGCATTTTGGAAAAATGATCTGGCAATATCTCTTAAGCATAAAAGTATACATTTATTTTGAAATAATAATTTTACTCTTGGAAACACATTCCATAAAATAAAACCACCTGCATTGATATTTATACTCACACACACATACTCAAGAATGCTTATGTACTATTACATATTATTTTTCATAATAAAAATCAGGAACCAATATGAACAGATGAACAAGTGTTATTAATAGAGAAATTCTTAGTTCAGTGTAAAAATTAACTTGACATATGATAAACATTTTTGTAAGAGTTTTATATCTTAGAAAAGACTCTTCATTGTTTTTTAAGAGGCAAAGTTCTTTTTTTTAAAATTTTATTTTATTGAGTTGTAGTCAGTTTACAATGTTGTCTCAATTTCCAGTGTAGAGCACAATTTTTCAGTCATACATGAACATATGTATATTCATTGTCACATTATTTTTCACTATAAGCTACCACAAGATCTTGTATCTATTTCCCTGTGCTATACAGTATAATCTTGTTTATCTATTCTGTATATACCTGTCAGTATCTACAAATTTCTAACTCCCAGTCTGTCCCTTCCCACCCTCCTCCCCCCGGCAACCACAACTTTGTATTCTATGTCTATGAGTCTGTTTCTGTTTTATATTTAAGTTCATTTGTCTTCTCCTTCTTCTCCTTCTTCTCCTCCTCCTCCTTCTTCTCCTTCTTCTCCTCCTTCTTCTCCTTCTTCTCCTTCTTCACCTCCTCCCCCTTCCTCCTCCTTTTTTTTTTTTGAGATTCTACATATGTGCGATATCACATGGCATTTTTCTTTCTCTTTCTGGCTTACTTCACTTAGAATGACATTCTCCAGGGATATCCATATTGCTGCAAATGGCATTATGTTGTTGTTTTTATGGCTGAATAGTATTCCATTGTATAAATATATCACATTTCTTTTTCTAGTCATCTGTCAATGGACATTTAGGCTGTTTCATTGTCTTGGCTATTGTAAATAGTGCTGCTATGAACATTGGGGTGCAGGTGTCTTTGTGAAGTAGGGTTCCTTCTGGATATATGCCCAGGAGTGGGATTACTGGATCATATGTTAAGTCTGTTCCTAGAAGAGGCAGAGTTCTTGTTTACTTTTGTGACAAAGGAAAGACTCATTTAGAAATAGTAATTAATGCCAGCAATCTACAATAATACTTATTTTTATATATCTAACATGATTGATTTTCTCGCATTTATAGGAATAGCTTTCAGATGTAATATTTAATTTTGAGTCATAACATTTTCATCTACATAATTACATTTTGGGAGAGGATATAACTTGCCTTCTTTTTTATCTAAAGAGAATATATTTTTATCATTGTCCAGGTCACCTAGCTAATGCTGGTACCATGATGGACCTGTCTGGCTGAAGTTGGAGCCCTGAAGGGGATGCAGCTGCTATGGGAAATGCCAGTCAAGACAGAGAGGTAGGGGAGAAATTTCCTAGGTTTCCCTTTCATCTCTCCTCCCAACCTCCTTTAAAAATCTTTAATGTGCTAACCCTAGCCAGAAATGCAGTCTGTAGAAATGGTTTACAGCATTTCTGTTTGTAGTAGCAAAATACTGAAAATAACCCATGTTTCTACTAATACTAGAAGGTGTAAATGAATACTGCATAATAGTGATATGAATGAACTATAGCTAAACATAATATGCATAAATCTGTCAAAAATAAGGCAGAAATTTATCAGTGAAAACCTAATAATTGTACATATTACTAAAAACTAAAGAGTATCTTATTAAAGGAAATAAATATATATAGCAAAAGTGATAAAATGCTATGGAGGAAATAAGGGGGTAATACATTGAAAACTCAGAGAGTGGTTATTTATGAAGGAGCTGACAAATGGGTTGGATCAGAGAGGAGCTCTCAGGAATCTTCAAAATGTTGGCAAAATTTTATTTCCTAAACTGAGTAAGATGTGAGTATTCATTGTATATGGCACTTTATACCTTACACAAATTTTACTAGTACTTGTTTTTAATTTCTCAATGTTTGATAGCAATAATAAAAATTACAACACTAGTAATAGAAGTAAAGCAAATGAACAAAAAGAGACCATGGAGAAAAACAGTGGACCATCTTCCCTGAGGAAGCATATTAGAAAAGCTCAAGAAACTCATAACTGGAAAGCTGATAACTACCATGAATCACAAATAGAATAAACACAAAATTTTAAAAGAAGACATCTAAATCATTAGGAGTGGGAGAAGGAAGCAAGGAAATAGAGAGTAATTTTTTTTTCTTTTTTAAATTTTTTTGTTCTCGGTAGGATGGGTTTGAGATTATATTACTATCTGTTTAATACAAACAGTTATAGTAGTGGGTTAATAGACTTACAAAAAAGGGTAATCACAAGCCAAAAACTTATAAGGGAGTCACAAAAACTAAATAAAATCCATGATAATACAAAGGAAAATTACCAAACCACAAAAGGAAGAAGAAAGGAACAAAGAGAAAATACCAAATCAACTGCAAAAATAAGTTCAAAATGGTAGTAAACACACATCTATCATTAATTAATGTAAATGTTAATGGACTAAATGCTCCAGTCAAAAGACGTAGAGTGGCAGACTGGATAATAAAGCAAGAACCTTCAATATGCTGCATACAAGAGACCCACTTTAGGGAGAAGGACACATACAGATTGAGAGTGAAAGGATGGAAAAAGATATTCCATGCAAATGGAAAAGCCAAAAAAGCAGGTATAGCAGTACTGATTTCAGACAAAATAGACTTTAAAACAAAGGCCGTAAAGAAAGATAAAGAAGGACATTTTATAATGATTAAAGGGGTAATACAAGATGAGGATATTATACTCCTTAATATATATGCTCCCAATATAGGAGCACCTAAGTACATAACAGAGATAAAGGGGGAAATTGATGGGAATACAATCATTGTCAGAGATTTTAACACCGCATTAACATCACTAGACAGATCTTCCAGACAGAAAATAAATAAGGCAACAGAGAAATTAAATGATACAATAGAAAAATTAGATTTGGTGGTTATTTTCAGAGCATTACACCCCCCAAAAATAGGATATACGTTCTTTTCAAGTGCATGTGGAACATTTTCTAGGATTGATCATGTACTTGGGCACAAAAGAAACCTCAACAATTTTAAGAAGATAGAAATTATCTCAAGCATCTTTACTGACCAGAATGCCAAGAATGAAGTGATATTTGTATTCACAGCTCTTCACTTTTCTCCTCAGCTTTTCTTTTCCTCCATTCATAAATTCAGTCACGAAAACTAATACTTAAGTGCAAAGCCAAACTGGTTCTTTAAAAATGGATCAGACAGAAAATGCACAAATGACTAAGACAAATAAGCCTGGAAGAGTGGAAAGTGAATCTTAAAAATTTTAAATCCAAGTACTCTGATTTAATTAAAAGTGGTAAGCTCCGGCCAGTGACTGAAAATTACATCAACATGTCCCCTGAGTTTTAATGAAGCAAAGAAGACCTGTAATCCCTGCAGAAAGGGCAAGTAACAGGGAATATGTTCTGAACAACCTGCTCTGTCCTTGGATAACACTGTAGAAATATTGCCCCCTTGTCATGGATTCTGAATCGCTATTTTTACAGGAAATAGGATTAAAATGCCTACTGGCCAACCACACGGCACATGTAAATTCATTTCAGCTCAAGATGACTAGTTATTACAATAAAATTTTATTCTGTATATAAGCAGAGGAAATTTCTTTTCTTCTATAATTACTTTTAGGCACTTAAGGATGGCAAATTTCAATTATAAAAGGAAGAGTTAACCATTTCTATCTCATTTGGAAGTATGCTATCATTTGAGGAGTATTTTACTAAATAAATGAAGATACATGTGTGCGCGCTATATGGAGACAAACAGATTCTATGTGAAACATTTCAAAGGGTACTTTTGAGATGTGAATTATTGTGCTCACTGCATAATGTGCTATTTTGTCACAGAGTAAGATAGTTATCTTCTCTATAGGATGCCAGTTAGGGACAACAGAAACTTTACATTGCTTTGAATTATCTGTTGAAAAATGTTTTTTTTTAATAATAGGTAGAAATAACCCAAATGAATAAAAATTTGTTATAAATAAGCATATAAATAATGATGTTTCAATTTCAGCACTGCTAGAGTAGAATTGTTCCTGATATAATTTCTGTTGGTTTTTGCAGTTGGAAATATAGACCATGAGTATATTCCTTTAAACTGTTTAATTTTTTTTTTTTACTGAGTTTATTTGAAGAGCTGAAATGCAAAGAGAGTTTTAGGATCTGGATTCTTTGAGATGTCTAACTAAGAGCAGTCAGTGAACTTTTGGGTAAATTCTAGAAAGGGCCTTGAACCCGTGTCTTAACGGAAGTAGTCTGTTATCAAATGGTTAGGCTTTTTATCAGTGCTTTGCTTCCATGTGAGGTGGCTTTTCAAGCCATGTGAGGAATAGCACTGATATCTAACTGTATTTCATTACCAAATCAGCAAATATTAAACATAAACTTTAAAGCATTTAAAGCCAATTTTCTAATGAAGCCATCCCCTATTAGGGAAAGACAGAAACAAAACACTGACACCTAATATATTTCAAACAAAATTAGCAATTATTAAAACTTTGGGGGGGATGATCAAAAGGAAAATCTAGAAATATAAGAAAAGCTTTAAGTCATAAAGAGAGAAGTAGAAACAAATTAAGGATTTAAACATAGAGAAATGCTTAAGCAGACTTTTGCATAGCTAATTGTGATGAAATAGGAAGCCATATAAATGAAGTTTATGAAAAACTTGGAAAAACATGGAACATGTTTTTTAGAACATGGAAAAAAATCTATATAGAACATGGAAAAATCTAAGTGATAAAAACAGCATAAAGTATCTATACAATAAAAACCCATGTCCTCCCCCCAAATAATAATAAATAGGAAGGAATATCAATAAAAATTAATGCAGTAGTAGTTGTCTCTAGATGATGGAAGTATGCATGATTGGTTTTTCAACATTCTATATTTTCTAGGTTGTTTAGAATGAAAGTGTGTTACTTCTGTAATACAACAATCTATTAAACTTTTCAGAAAGAAAAATCAAAATCAACAATATGTTAAAACAGCATAGAAAATTTCCAAAAATGTTTATGTTATATTGGGTATAATGTGATTTTTAAGTGATGAGCTACTGAATATATTCAAGTGACAATGTTTATTTTCTATATTTAGATGATATCTTTTTCCCTGTTGATGGTGTCTTTTTCCCTGTTGGATGGTGAACTATTTTTTCTCTGACAGCAGTTAGTATGCACTTACCAGAAATGCAGAAGTGGTTAATGGTGGTACTATCTATAAACCACCCAGTTGATCCAGAGTACACTAGAAACTTAAGAGCCCCATGACGTGAGAATTTGTTTGTCAGTTTTAACTAGTGACTAGTTTTTTAAGCTATGGTTTTATTTTATAAAATAGATGTTTGCTTTCATGTTCACAAAATGTTCTGGGATAGGTTTCAGATATTAGATTTCCCTTACAACTATGAATGGCAACTCAAATTCAAAGTTAAGAAATTGTTCTCTTTAATGTTCCAGATGACACTAAAGTTCACTCTGAGTGAAAATGATGATCTACTTGTATCTATAATTCTTGAAAGCTATGCTTCTTTGTTCTTGTACTGATATTTTCTATGTAAGCAGGCAGGTCCACAGGTTGATAAATTGTCTTTAAACTTTTTGATGGGGAAATAGGAAGAACAAGAAATAGTTGTTAATGGAGGAGGGAGGAAGAAGAAAGCATTTTAGTAAATACACTGCAATACAAGATAAAATTAAAGGATCACATTCAAATTATGTAATTTTGAGACATTTCTTCTTAGCTTGGTGGAAAGGATGGCAGGTAAACTAAATTTTAGATTAAATAGAAGTTCAAGTGTCAATGTATTTAAGAAGGATCAACAAGATTCATTTGAACCAAATTAGGTTTGACTCTGGGATGGACTAAGAAGTATATATTGTTTTCAATAAACAAATAGTTTTATGAGTTAACTCTGTATGTGGCATGGCAATTACAAGTGGTAATAATGTTTAACTAAGGTCAGTATTAAGATGAGCTTCAAAATCATGAGAATCTAACAAAATAACCATGGTGGAAGGAGGTAGAATAACAATTATTGAGAATTATATTTTTTGTAGAATTGTGCAGAAAGTAAATTTAGGATTATGAATTAGAAGGCAACTAAGAGTTGAAAGGGATTTCTTTCAAGGATTATAGAAATAGAGCCGTTGATGTGAGTAAAGAGCTCCCCTGGTTTCTATTTATCATGTTTAAGTCTGAACCAAGAAAATATATTGGGACATTATTTTTCTTAGTCTTTTCTTCTTTTTATCATTCATTAAATCTTACTTACTAAGTTCTGTTTCACCCAAATGTGTCCTTAAAATGCAATTTTTATGTA